AAAGAACAAGAGAATATAATGCTTTAATTGATATAAGGCCTGGCTCAAACTCACCAGGAGAAAGATGGGCAGTCTCGTCCTATGTGATTTACTGCCTCTGAAAATCCACTGGAGGTTCAACTATGAGTTGGTTCAGACTCAGTCACATAACAACATATCAACAACAGAGGCTGGGAAAGAGTTATACCTAAAAAGCAAGAGATGGCTGGTTTAGAGAATTTACAATATTTTTAAAGAATTTATAAATTAGTACAAAAATATGACTAAACTAATGGAAAACAAAAAGGTTAATAAAAAACAAACATGTATGCATATATGAATAACTCCATGAAACAATGAAAAAGTTTAACATCTTTTGCAGAGCAAAGACAATGTCAATTAAACTGAATTATACATCAAATTATTTTAACATATCAAATTTATACAAATTAAAAGACTGGCTGATATCAGTCCAAGGATTTTGCGGTTATGGTCAAAGTGAAATGGGTTCTCATAAATGGTTAATTAATAAATTAATTGTTCATTTAAATAGTAAGCATCAATATTAACATGATCCATACCCTTTAATGTTGTAATTCTGCTCCTAGAAATTTATTCCTTTTTAAAATTTGAATGGAAGTTTACAAATCATATTGTTGCTGTTATGTGCCATCGAGTCGCCTGCGACTCATAGCGACCCTATGTACAAAAGCCCTAAACTCCGCTCTGTCCTGTGCCAATCGCACTGTCTCCGACACTCCCATCCCAATTATCCCCGTCACTGAATCAATCCATCTCATAGAGGCCCTTCCTCTCCTGCACCGTCCCTCCACCCTCCCAAGCATGATGTCTCTCTCTAAGGACCGGTCTCTCCTCACAACATGTCCAAAGTATGTTAGACGGAGCCTCAGAATCCTTGCCTCCAAGGAGCCACCCGGTTTAACCCTTTCCAGGACAAATCTGTTTGTTTTCCTAGCAGTCCATGGTATTCTCAATACTCTTCTCCAGCACCACAGCTCAAAAGCATCAATTCTCCTTCTATCCTCCCTGGTCATTGTCCAACTCTCTGATGCATACCAAGTGATTGCGAAGACCATGGCCTGTATCAGACGCACCTTAGTCTCCAGAGAGACACCATTGCTCTTCAGTACTTTGGATAGGTCCCTAACAGCAGACTTTCCCATGGCAATGAGCCTTTTAATTTCCTGGCTGCTGGTGCCAAGACTGTTGACTATGGAGCCAAGCAAACTAAAGCTGTGTACAATCTCAATCTCTTCACCATCCATCCTGATGCTGCCAACTGGTCCAGTGGTGAGAATCTTTGTCTTCTTGACATTGAGCCTCAATCCATATTATAGGCTGCAGTCCTTGACGCTCTTCAGCAGGCGCTTCAGGTCCTCTTCAGTTTCAGCAAGCGGGGTTGTGTCATCCGCATAACGCAGATTGTTGATAAATCGTCCACCAATCTTGACCCCACCTTTCTCCTCATAGAGCCCAGCCTCCCGGATAATCTGTTCTGCATATAGGTTGAAAAGGTATGGAGATAGGATGCATCCCTGGCGTATGCCCTTCCCAATTTTGAACCATGCAGTGTTCCCTTGCTCTGTTCTGACGACTGCCTCCTGGTCCAAGTATAAGTTTCGCATTAGAACAATCAAGTGTTCTGGGATTCCCATTCTTCTCAGAGTCAACCATAGTTTGTTATGATCTACACAGTCAAATGCCTTTGCATAGTCAATGAAACACAGATAGACATTCCTCTGGTATTCCCTGCTTTCAGCCAAGATCCATCTAACATCAGCTACAATATCTCTAGTACCACGACCCCTTCTAAACCCAGCCTGGACTTCTGGTAGCTCTCTGTTGATGTGTTGTTCCAGTCGTTTTTGGATAATCTTCAGTAAAATCTTGCTTGCATGTGAGATTGTTCTGTAGTTTCCACATTCTGTTGGGTCACCTTTCTTTGGGATAGGAACAAATATCGATCTCTTCCAGTCAGTTGGCCAAGTGGTCGTTCTCCAGATTTCTTGGCACAACTTGGTGAGCACGTCCAGGGCAGCATCTGTTAACTGAAATATGTCAATTGGTATACCATCTATTCCTGGAGCCTTATTTTTTGCCATTTCCTTCAAAGCAGCCTGAACTTCTTATTTCATCACCATAGGCTCTTGCTCATATGTTGTTTCATGAAATTCTTCTGTGTCTTCCAATTCCTTTCGATACAGTGACTCAGTATATTCTTTCCATCTTCTTTTAATACTTCTTGGATCATTTAACATTCTGCCAAAAGCATCCTTGACTATAGCAACTCGAGGTTTGAATTTGTTCTTCAGTTCCTTGAGCTTAAGATATGCTGAACGAGTTCGGCCCTTTTGATTTTATTGGCTTTTTATTCAAACACTCATGGTCATTTTGTTTTAGAACATTAATTCCAGTGGATTCATATAATTAATGAATTACAATGGCTAATCAAACTCTTAGGGCATTAGCAATTTATCGTAAGGAAATAATCAGAAATCCCGGAATTATTTTACTACAGTTACTTGTCAGTTGAGACTGCACTTGGCTGCATGTAAGAAACCTGATGGAGGCTTAAGGGCAGGTGATTATTTTGCTTATGTACCAAGCTCAGTTCACAGGTGGTGCAGCAGTCCCAGGCTCCTTAGTTTCCAATCTGTCCTCCAGGCAGGATGAAGGGAGAAGGGTAAAAGTTCAGGCCTTCCAAGTCTGTCCTTTTATCAGCTTCTGTGTCTTAACTCCCAGAGCTACCCATGACAGAGCTGAGAAGTGTTTTTATTTAGACATACTATTATCTCTCCCCCTTAAAGTGGAGTTCTAATAATGAAAAGGATGCGACAAGTGGCCTATTTAATGAGGACATCCCTTACACATTTTAAATTTTATTTCCCTGAGAGAATGCTTCTATCAAGTGAGAAAATGGACACAGAACATATATAACACAATTTCATTTCTAAAAATATCATTTACATGCACATCACAAAGGAAGTTAACAAAATATTCATACTATTTTCATCTAAGTACTGACGAATCAGCTGTTTAGATCTTACTAAATTTTTTTTATCTTCTTCAGTGAACTTGTTTTACTTTTGTAAAAATGAGGGGGGGGGGAAATGTTCTTTTTAAAACCAAACCATAAATTCACAAAGAAATCCAAGTCCAAAAGATGTACAATTATTCATCTTCATCACCAAAAGAACATAGGCTACTTTTCTTGATTTTCTTTTGCAAGTTCTTTTTAACTGAGTCTGGCTTACTACTTTCCTCTTCATTTGTCTTCCTCTTTTTTGAAATTGCTATTAAACCTGAGTATTTTTCATCAGAGTGAAACTTGAGTAGTATGTAATACACGATTCTTCCATCAGCAAAAGCTGGCTCCTCGTCTTCCTTAACTGCCTTTACATCCAATGTCATTTTCTTTGCTTCTTCAGCTGACAAGTTTCCTTTCCTTAAAAATACCACTTGAGGCTGCTCATTACTGTGTTCAGCATCTTTTGGGAGCTGAGGCTGGATTCTCTTGGTCTCCAAGAGAGTCCTTCCTCGTAGCCGACCTTCTCCTTGAAGCGGGTCAGAACGTGGGCGTGGCCGGCCACATGTCTGACATCAAGTTGCACTTGTTCATGGTCTGGCCCAAAATATTGACATTTAAACACTAGCAAAATCTTATCTGTCTTCTGTCTGTCTTTCCGTCTATCTGTCTGTCTGTCTACCTACCTACCATGTCTCAGTTTGTTTATCTCAGTTTTTAATTTCTCTCAGAAGTATTTTTGTATTTTCCTGATACAGTTCTTTTACATGTTTTGTCAAACTTATAACTTGGGGTATTGTATGGTTTTGTTGGATACTATTTTAGAATTTTAGTTTTTTGTTGATAGTATATACACAAATATATTTATTTTTGTGTGTCATATATTCTACAATTTTATTAAATTCACTTTATTTCTCATCTTTTGTGGGTTTTGTTGCTATTGTGGATCTCTTTGAAATTTTTGTATATTGTTATTTATGAATAAAGACAATTTTACCTTTTAAAAAGAAAACAAATTACATATTAAAAAGAAGAAAAAAGAACCTTGGATGGGTCTGGAACTACCAGCCAGCAGAACACTTAGCTCTGAGCAACCTGGCAGCTGAGGGAAAAGAATTCCAGAAATTATTCGGAAGAAGCTTGCTTTTTCCTTGTATGCATTTACTCATTCGTTCAGTAAATCAACTTTGTTATTGTTGTTGTGTGCCATCATGTTGGAACCAATTCATAGTTGATCCTCCAGTGGGTTTTCAGAGGCAGTAAATCTCAACAGGAGGAGATTGCCCATCCTGGTGAATATGAAGTACCTGCCTTTAGGATTGCAGTGCAGTGTATCACTAGGCCACCAGAGCTCCCTAAATCACCTTTAAGATACATTAACGAGTGCTCGCTTCGGCAGCACATATACTAAAATTGGAACGATACAGAGAAGCTCAGCAAGAAGTGTTCCCTATAAAAAAAAAGATACATTAACGAAAATAGTGTGATTACATTGTGGGTATTAGAGTTAAGGTTATGAAACAAAATGGGAATGACTGACTGAAAGGAAAACCAGTTTGCTTTTTGATCTCTCACACACAAACCTTACAGAAGCTGACTGACACATCTTTTTCTCCTGGAAGTAGCTGGTATGTTTATACCACCCACCTTTATATTTGCAGCCAAGTACTTACCACTGCACCACCAGGGCTCTTATATTGCCTCAATAATAGGCAAACAACACTGTTCCCCAGTGGTATTATTACAGTCACCATTAGAGAGGTTGTGAGGCACAGCATATATTTTGGGAGCCATAGCTCAATACGTAAGACCAGATTGTTGCTGTTGCTATATGTCGTTGAGTTGTTTGCAACAGCAGGTTACTAGGTTTTATTTCAAAGTAGAATCATGCAGCCTTTCTGTTCAGGGAAGTGGAGGGCTTGTAGGAAATGAGCAGGGCCTACATTCAGTGTTCTTAGAAACTTCCTTATTGCAGGACGTGAATACACTTTCTAAAGGAGATGTTAAATTGAGCCCTCCAGTTCATATAATGAAGATTAAGCCTCCCAAGCCAATTACAGGTCAGTATAATTCAATTAACCTGCCCCTTCCTGTTATCATTGAGTTCTTCTCTTCTCTGCCTTTCTACATATTTCCTGTATTTTCACTTTGTTATCAACAGTGTCTAAATTATAAACATAGCTTGTAAGAGGAAGTATTTTTTAAACTTCATAAGCTCCAGAGCCTAAAAGGAAAAGGTGTGAATGTTGTAAGGACATAGAGCTGACTAACAGAACAGGGAAGTCAGAAGAGAAGCATGTTCAGATCGTCTCCAGGGCACTGGTTACAGTGTATTACTACATTCGTGGTTAATTCATCCTTTAGCTTTTGCAGAGTAAACTCTGGTGGCTTAGTGAAAAGGCATTGTGCTGCCTACACAAAGGTATACATACAGTTTGCATCCACCAACTGCTGCGCTGGAGACTGATGGACAGTCTCCTCTTGTGCACTTTACTGCCTCTGAAAACCCACTGGAGGGTCAACTGGGAGTTAGTTCCGACTCAGTGGAACACAGTAACAACCACAAGTATTTGCTGAGTGGCAGTAATGCTCCAAATACAAAGATAAGTACACCTATCCTTTACCCCAGAGCTGAGCGTCTAGCAAGGAGTGGGAGGAAGCCATCCCGTGGGAGAGGATAAACGCAGCAACTGAAAGGTTCTAGAAGCCCACTGCTGTTCAGGCAATTCTGACTCCCAGGGACCTCCTAGGATGGAGTAGAGCTACCCCGTGGGGTTAGCCACGTTGTAATCTTTACAGAAGCAGATTGTCACACCTATCCCTACAGTTATTGGCTGAGTACTTAACCACTGTGCCACCTGGGCTTGCTGAGGACGGGCTTGCTTGCTCGCTGCCTTCTGGTCTCGATCCTGGCCCCGATAGGTCGAAAATCCAGGGCAGAGACTGCCCATCTTTCTCCCACGGAACTGCTGGTGGATTCAAACCACTGCAGATGCTCAGGCTCTTGTTAGTGCAGCCCCCCTCTGGATGCTCCCACTACTTAGAGGAAGAACTAGCACCCTGAAACGTAGAGAGGGGTGTTCAGGTGCCCAGGGAGTGGGTGGAGGCTTTATAAGAGGGGAGGACATTTGGGCAAGGTTTTCAAGAACAAGTGGGAGCTTATGGAAAGGAGCAGAGGATACAGGCTATCCTCGCGGGGTTCACACCTGATCTCAAATACGTGTGTGACAATGTTCACTGCCTCACACTATAATATGTCAAAATAAGTTCTAGACGATTCACAGGATACAGATGAAAGAAAGACAAAATGAAAAAAGTGTTTAGAAAATATCTTTATGGCCACTGGGTAGAAAAAGTACTTAGAAGAAAATTGTTTCTGTCTACCATAAAATTAAGGACTTTAAGTCATCAAAAGGGGGGCACTCTGGTGGCTTGTTGTTAGGCGCTGTGGAATTGAGTATGACTCCTAGCCACCTATGAACAACAGATCTGAACTCTTCCCTATCCTGTGCCGTCCTCACCATTACGGGCTCCCTGAGCCCACTTCTGCAGTCTAGTGGCTGCTTCTGGTCATGTGCTGTCGAGTCAACTGTGACTCATAGCAACCCTGGACACTGCCCTATCCTGAGCCAATCTCAGCTGCTTCTTGGGAGAAAGATGGTCAGACTCCTTCTATGTGATTAACTGCCTCTGAAAACCTGCTGGAGAGTCAGTTATGAGTTGCTTCTGACTCAGTGATACACAACAATAACAGTCATCAAAAGACATCATTAGAGGGAAGTTTGGTGGTCTAGTGGCAAGTAGCTGCGCTGCAATTCCAAAGACGCATGGTTCGAATCTACCAAATGCTTCTCTGGAGAAGGAGGGGCAATCTCCTCCTGTGCCAGTTAGATCTGACTTGATGGTACATCACAAGAAAAAAGTGAAAGAATAAAAAATTTTTCTTAAAAAAGGTCAAGTCGAGAAAAGTGCAACAATGAATGAATGAAAATCCAAAAGCTCTGTAAATATTCATTAAAATTATTAAAATAAAAATTTTTTTAAAAAAAGATCAAGTCACAACATAAGGAAAAATACTTGGAAAACATACATAACTTACTAGTGGGCATTAGCCAGAATATATAAAGAGTTTCTACAAATTAAGAAAAGGATGATCCAGTACTAAAACAAGGAAGACTCCTAAAACAGGCAGCTTTTGTTCACATAGGATAAGCATAGGCATGGGAAGAGAATGAGACTGCCTGTGTGTCTTTAGCCACAGCTGAACAAAGATGCCAAACTGGGAGGTTTTGTACTTGCTTAGCTGGATGAGGAGCTCAGGTGGCCTGGCCCTTAGGGAGCTGCACTGAGAACCCCAAAGCTGCACATGGTGGTTCAAATCCACCAGAGACTCTGGGGGAGAAAGATGGACAGTCTCCTTCCATGTGATTTACAGCCTCTGAAAGTCTGCTGGGGGGGGGGGTCGGCTGTGAGTTCTGACTGGACCGCAGTGAGGATGAGCAAGTGAGCTGGAAGGGATAATGACAGGAAGGTTTCTCGTGGCATCAAGGATGCTGCCAGAAGCAGAGGAAATGGTGGAGCATGGTGAGGTGGCAGCAGAAGGGTGGTGAAGCCTTGGCTGGGCTTGGTGAGTGGGTGGGGCAGTGGAGAAGATGGAAAATCTGGGGTCCCAGGCCTAGCTAAACCAAGCTGATGGCTTCTGCAGCTAAGTGGGTTGCAAGGAAGAAGTTAGGGGAAAATCATCCAAAAGGACGCCTGAAGGTTTGGCTAATCCTGGCATGTTGTCAATGCAGGCACCACATTTAAAAGCCCCCTGGAAGTCTTTGCGAAGATAGAAGACTGCTATGGACTGGGCTCCGGGCAGAACCACTTCATCAAAGAGAGTCAGTGGGAGCAGCAGGCAGCTATATTCAACACTTTGTACAAGAAGCATCTGGATGGGGTGTGGGAAGAAGAGCCGCTCAGGTGAGCAGCCCAAGGCGCCGTGGTCCCCAGAGTGCTCCTGGCCAAGAGGGCTCGGGGCGGGGGTGGGGGGGTGGGAATGGGGGGCGGCAGATCAGCCTGAAGCAGTCCAAGGCCCCAAGGCTCTGTCTTGGGGGATGTTTTAGAAAACTTTAAGAGCTCTTTGGAAAAGTTGTATAGAGACTCTTTAAATCTTGTCGAAACAGAGGTAATAATATGGCTAGAATACAAAGAATATTTATGTATGGTGATTAGAAAGAAATTTTTTTTGGTTTTAAATATGACATTATATATAATTATGAACTCTGGTTTTATATATGACATCATATATAATGGCACATGTATAAAGGGACTTCATCCTATATAATAGTACATCCTATAAATGGGAGCTCTGGTGGCCTAGTGACAAGAAGCTGTGCTGCAATCCCAAAGACACACAGTTCGAGGCCACCAGCTGCGCCATGGGAGAAGGATGGGCAATTTGCTCCCATGCAATTAACTGCCTCTGAAAACCTGCTGGAGGGTTAAGTTTGGATTGGTTCCAAGTCTATGGTACACAACAACAACAACAATAAGACTTCATTTCTTTTTAAAAAGTTCTTCCCCAAAATTAACTAGAAAATACAGAAGATCCTAAAGGTGAAAATAAAACTCAGTCACCACCATGAATATTTTTCTCCATTTCCTTCCAGCCTTTATAAATGTGACATATATGCATATAATGCATAATCCGTATTATCTGATCTCACATCAATAGTTAGGGCCTCATTAGCCCCATGTTGTGGTTGTAAAAGTGGAGGCCAAGTCTTTGAAGTGTTGTTGATAGAGCTGGTGTTGGCTTCAGGAACCAGCTCTCCTGACGGCTGGGAGGAGGGTCTGACAGCTGTTGTTGTAGGGTTCAGATGTGCTTCTCCTTCCGTGTGGGAATGAAACTTCTCTTCTTGTTGTCAAGTGGATCTTGAGTTTTCTCACTTCAGGATACAATCTCCTAAGGCTCAGTCATAATAGCACCTACCAGTTCTTGTTATAACAGTTCAAGACGCCTGAACTGGAACCCAAAAAAGACTCACCGGTGCACTGGAGCCAGCTCCTGCTGACCAATGAGATATTTAGGCATTTTGCAAGCCACCTGGTAATTGCCCAGGGTGGGTGGATTCATGCCTTGGAAATCTATAAACCCTGTAGACTCACTCATTCTTTTCCCAAAGAGCGAGTTAGTCCACATCCACTGATTGTCTTGCCTCCAGAATAAGAGGCTAAGGGGGCATCTGTATATCTCTCCCAAGTTAAAGGTTCTCTGGGGACAAAGGTGTCCTCTATAAGGGAGCTTGCTGGAAGGCGTTCTGCCCTGCACCATTGACTACAGGCCTAGGAGCTTCTCCTGCACCTCAGCCCATCCATATATGTGGTGACAACCACAGTTCACCCTGCCCTGCCTTACCTAGATCCGAGGCTTGCCTGTGCCACCAGGACCAGCCATAGAATGTGGATTGTCTTATCACCTTGTGCTCACAATCCCTTTCTGATAACATTTCTAAGACTTTGCTATCAGCTCTTCTTGCCAAGGACTCTCCCGCTGTTCTAACTGGTGTGTCTTTCCTTCCCAGTGTGGCCACGCTCCACTTTCTCCTCCCTAGCCGCATGTTTGCAGTGCCAGGGGAGGTCAAGACCCCTTCAGGTAAAGGAATGTGTGCTCATCCTGGGGAGGGGGTCCCCTCAGCAAGTCCCTGTAGAGATAGATGTTCCGCATAGTAAGCCTTGCATGGCCTTGAGTTTGGCTGATCTTTAGTGGGAGGGTTTGAAGGTGGAAATTGAGATGTTAGCTATAAAGTGCTATTTGGATCTGTGATACCTGAGGCTTTATTTCATGATGACAAAGGCTTCAGTTCACTTCAAGGAGTAGGCCTTGTAGAGAGGGGTACATATGTTGCCAGGCTGCTTCCTCCCAGCCCAGGAGGGCTAAAAGACCTGCAAATAGCCCTTTGGGGGTTGAGGGGGCTAGCCTGTCTTCGTGGGGAAGTTCACCCCTCTGTTGGATGGTACAATATACCTCTGATTTCAAACAAGCTGCCTCTTGAGCAAAACACCTGCCATGCAAACAAGAAGGTGCCTTATGTGATGGCTCTCCACTCTTCTCCCCAGGGGCAGCCCATGTCCTTGGCGTCCACTGGACTGGAAATCATAACTTCTTTCTCTATTCACTTAACCGAACTCTGAAAGATAAAGTTGGTAAGTTACTGCTGAGCTGGAAGTTGCCTATACTTACAATTATCAGAATGTTAGTTTCTTGATCACAGTGTCTCTTCAGGGGACCTAAATGCAGTTAAGTGCTGTGGTGTGACCTCAGGGGTCTGGTTTTGAACAGTCAGGTTTCTAAAAGATGATAGGTCAATGGGAACGAAGCCCAGAGTCAGGCTCACAGGGGTGCTTGGGCAGCTGAGGGAACTCTAGTATTGTGTCCTGCTGGGTGTTGCCCTCCTAACTGAAAGGTTGTGTCTCTGGTGGTTAGACTCCACCAGCTGCTCCTCTAGGGATGGATGGGCAGCCTCCTCACATTGTGATTTACAGCCTCAGAAACCCCAGGGAGCAGCCCCATGCCACAGGTGGAACTGACTTGATAGCAGTGAGTTTCAGTTTTGAGTTTGGGACAGCTGATGTGAAAGGGTGGCAGCCCACCTGTTTACAAACTGTCAGGCTGGCCGCTTCCCTGCCCCAGTCCCTTATTTTATGGTCTGAAACATGAGCCAACTAAACTATCTCTATCAACTGTATTTGTTCTGAATAGCAAAATCTGGAGTTCATGCATGTAAACTCTGACATAGAAAAAACGTTAAGGAAATAGAGATTATTGTAATAGGGCACCTTGGTTGTACAATAGTTAGGTGCTGGGCTGCCAAGCCAAAGGTCAAGAGTTTGAACTTGCCAGGTGCCCCAGGCAGAATCATGTATCAGTCTACTCTACGGATTACGGTCTTGGACACCCTGCCCTATAGGGTTACTATCAATCAGAATTTTACTTGATAGCAATGAAGGGTAGGTGATTGGGGTTTTTGGTTTTTTTGGGTGGGTTTTTTTTTCTCTCACAAATTCATGGAAGCAATTGCAGAATCCTGTTCATTTGTGGCAAATCCTTAAACTATATATTATACCTCAAAAGTTGTTAAAAAAATTCTCAAAGCAGAGATTTCTTTCCCTCCATCCTTCCCCCTAGCAGCCCGGCTTATATGCCAAACTTCGGAACTGGGAAGTCATTTGCTTCTCTGCGTCAGTCTCCTTATCTGTAAAATGGGAGTGCTACTCAGACATACCTCATAGAATCCTTGTGACAATGGAATGAAATTATCCATGTAGAAATCTCAACGTTGTATTTAACACTGGTCAAGTACCCTTTAAGTGTTAACTATAGAACAGCTCTACTCCTTGGCATCATATTGTTCTAAGGAAGGAGAAAAGCATTGCGTGGAGAGAAAAGATGTGAAACCAGACGGGTACTCTCTCCGATCATGCCCCAGGCAGGGAGACTAGGCTGAGTCTCAGTTGTCCAGCTAGGGTTGATGGGTGGCTTTGGGGTCCGGGGGAGCAGCCTGGTGATTGGTGCCCTCCCCCTAGATCCTGAAGGCGTGTGGCCCTGTGCTGCACCCATCGTAGCCTCTGCTCTCAGCTTCTCCTGCTCCTTCCTGGTGCTGGCCTGCGAAGACGGTGTGCTCACACTGTGGGACCTGAATGAAGGTGAGCCCCCAGCCTCTTGCCTGACACCTAGGTGCGTTTCCAGGCACACAGCTCCACAGACTTTGTAGGCTCCAGGCCTTTGATTACCTTTGTGTTCTTAAAGTCACCCTGAGTCTCTGGTCCTGCTGTCTCTTCCATTCCTATTAGAAACGTTTAGTGAACATAACATGTGCAGACACTATTTTCTACATATTTAGGGAAGACTTCCTCTGTGCCAGATACTCTAATGGGTCTTAGAAGTAGGACCAATGAAGGAATTTTTCTTTTCAAAGAGAAGAGTGAACTGGGGGGAGGGGTGGGCAGGGAGAAAAATGCAACAATGAATGAAATCCAAAATCTCTGTAAACTAAAAATAAAGAAAAAATCGCTGTAAACTTTCATTAAAATTAATAAAATAAAGAAGTAGGACCTTTACCTTCATAATCACACTCCAGAGAAGAAGGGCCTTCTAGCACACTGAGCCATATTGTTTTGGCCTCAGCAGCCTCCTCCCAGCCTCTAAACTCTCAAAACAAGGCTCTTTTCTTTTCTTTTTTTTTTTACTTACTCACAGTTGTGGTGTTTATTAGGGAAGCAGATGGGTGGAGTTGGGGAGCCAGTGGGTATCACAATGAAAATCCAAGTTTGGTGAACAGAAGTTCCAAGCCAGGTTAATAGAAGACTCAAGTCCTCAATTAGTTCAGACAATTTCTCAATAAGTGAAAGGCCAGTATCAGCCCAACACCACAAAGATAAGAAGCTTCTGGTTTCCTCAATTGTCTAGCAGACTTTGCCTCCTAGAAGTCACAAGTCAGCTCTTGCAAGCAATGCTGCTCATCTCCAGTGCCCCCTCAGGCTACCGTGTTGCCATAATCTCTCTAAAGCCTGGCTAGCTCTCTCTCTTTGTTGACCTCAAGTGGTTGATGAGACAAGGCTCTTTTCTTTCCTGCTACTGCCCACCACCCCATTCAGCTGACCCCTCCCCCGTCCTGGAGTGGAGAGGCCCCTCAGTCAGTGAGCGCAGGACCAGCCACTCTGCATGGTGCGACCCCTGCGTCCTGGTCCAGCCTTGCAGGTGCAGGAAATCAGTGAGATCTGATGATCCTAAATTGACCAACTGCTTGAGAAGTGTTTGCGTCTCGCCAAACTTGAAATACTGATTCATGTCCTTTTACGACTGTATACATATTTTACTTGGGTCAGCCCTCCTGGCAGGCGAGTTCATGGCACATCTGAGCAAGAGCACCTTGTTCACTGAAGAGTTGGTGGCAGTGACAGGAGCTGTTGGTCTGCAGTGGGGTGCCCATCAGGCCGGGGCTGGGGGTGATGTCCTTACTTGGGCTATTTGTGGCTGAAGAACTCAAATTATTTAGAATAAGAAGACATCCTCCCTGCATGGTGCTGAGGTAACCATGGAGCTTATCAGAACGCCCTCCTGGATAATATTTTGTAACCACCTCACTAATTTAACAGTAAAAGATATTTCAAAGAATGATCATAATTTTAAAAGCACACGAAGACCTCTTTTCTGAAACTTCTGTCGCACGCACGTTTGTTAGCTGGGGCTCAGTATCTACCTGGGCTGGACCACACAACAGCTCAGAGTTGTACTGTACAGCGCTGGCCCTGTCCTCCTCCAGGGGTTCGGTTCTCCTCCTTTCAGCCCAGTGATTGTATGTGCTGTGGAGTCAGAAATGACTCATATCTGGCCCCCCAGCAGATGTTCAGAGGCTGAAAATCATCCAGAAAGAGATTGCCCGTCTTTCTCCTAAGGTGGAAGCCAACATTCTGGCTTTGGCTTCTCAACGCAACTCTACCCATTAGGCCACAAGCGCACCAGTAGACACTGGATTTTCCTGGTTTCACTCTCAGAGAACACTCGTTGCCTGATTCATCTTGTTCCCACATCTAAAAGCTCTTCCTGCCCTGATCACGGATGCTGCACCCACGTCTGCGTCCCCTGCCCCTTCTCATTCCTAACTTGCATGTGTGACTCTTCCTCCAGGATTCCCGTTTGGAGTTGTTGCTCTTCCGGAGGGATGTTTCTGCGAAAGCATTCACTTCCTAGATTACTTTTTGGTCCATGAAGGACACAACGTGTATCCTGAGGTTCCGGTAAAATCTAAAATGAAATGTGTGGTGCTGTGCACAGATGCCTCCCTCCACCTGGTGACTGCCAGCGGGACCCAAGAGCCCACCATCAGTGTGCTTGTTGAGAGGTCAGTGCCTCATGGGCAGGATAGAGCAGAGGTGCTGGACAGGTGACGTCATCTGTGTCACCCACATTTCTCTACAAAGACCGCTTTCCTGGAGTCATTGCTCCCCCCATGACTTACTCAAGATCATCGATGTCTCTTTTTCTCTTGTGGGTTTTTTCCCCCACGTAATTTTTTTAAACATAATATCATGCTGGGCAGAGTGGAGGGACAGCGCAGGAGGGGAAGACCCTCTATGAGATGGATTGATTCAGTGAGTGGGGTACTCGGGATGGGTGTGTCAGAGGCGGTGCGACTGACACAGGATAGAGCAGGGTTTAGGGCTGTTGTACATAGGGTCGCTATGAGTCGCAGGCGACTCGACGGCACATAACAACAACAACAATATTATTATAAGACGATATCTATCATATCCCACACCAGTGTAAAGAGGGTTTTTTTTTTCCTGAAAAAGTAGTCCAGCCTTTTCTCAGTTTCCAAAAGGAGCTGGTTTTCAGATTGTGAGATTGTTGTAGGCATGCACAGGTATGTGTAAAAACTAGAATATATTCAGTTCTATTAAGATTCTCTGTGGGGCTCTCCTTGATCACACTTTTCTCTCTCCTTCCCCAAAGGTAAGAACTTTCTAAATATATATATATATATATATATATCTCATATAAAAAACCACCCTGAAATTTAGTAGGTCAGCAAGTTGTACTAGGTTCAGTTAGGCAGTTCTACTGGTCTTGCTGCCAACCCAAAGGCACCCATGGTTCAAAGCCACCAGCTGCTCCATGGGAGAAAGACAGGTGATTAACTGCCTCTGAAACCCACTGGAGGGTCAGCGGTGAGTGGGTTCTGGGTCTCCAGGACACAACAACAGCGGCCTCTCACAGGTCCTGGGTACGTCGGAGCCTGCTGTTGGCCAGGGCTTCTTGGTTCTCTTCCTCATGGCGCCTCCTGCAGGTCAGCTCAAGCTCCACCATGTGCTCTCTAAAGGTTACCAGCTACAAGAGAAAGCAGCCCCAGGCGTTTGAAGCCTATGCTTGTATTGTTGTTAGTGGTTACAAGGATAGCCCTGGATTCATGGTGACCCCTGGATGACAAAACACTGCCTGGTCCTGAGCCACCTCTGTGATTGGCTGCAGATCAGACAATTGTGATTCTCGGGTTTTTCACAGACTTGATTTTCAGCATCAATCCCTGGGCCTTTCTTCCTAAGTTTGTCTTCCTCTGGAAGCTCCACTGAAACCTGGGCAGCATCATAGCCACATGCCAGCCTTCAATGACAGATGGGTGGTGGCTGCATATGTCATGCATTGACCAGGAAGCAAACCCAGGTCTCCCACATGGAAGGCAAGAATACTACCACTGAGCCACAGCTGATCACTGCTGCTTGTGCTACATTTGTCAGTGTCTGGGTGGGCAGATCACATGATCATGCAGTAGACAAATAGATTTCTGCTTTTGGATGGGAAGAAAAACTCACTACCATCAAACAGATTCTGACTGCTGGTGACCTTCTGTTGGGTTTTTGAGGCTGTACATTTTTATAAGAAGAGACAGCCTCATCATTCTGCTGAGGATTTGAACCACCAGCCTTTCAGGCAGTCACCCAGCACATTACACATTATAACACCACACCTCCTTTCATGGAAGGACTCCCAGTTATGATAATTTTTTAAAAAGAATATACCGTACCATTTTGCTAAATTCACCATTCTTTTGCTTTCTTTTAAGGGTTAGCCACACACATAATGATTGTATCCAAACAATATATTGCTTGACTTTGCATGTTTAAGGAACTTATGAATAGAATAATAATCTGTATATTTCCTGACTTGGTTTTTGGATTCTTTCTGTTCTGTGACTTGTTTCATTGAGTGCTTCATGGATGTTGTACATTGAGCGCCAATTCATTTCTTTCTGTTACTGTATTTCATCCCATTGTGGCAACATGCCACTATTATTTGAGGATTGTCCTGTCAGTAGATATGAAGATTGCTCCCAGTTTCTTCCTACTATAAACCATATTCTACATGTCACCTGGTGCTCATGTGCTTCTTCAGGATATCTGCCTAAGAGAGAATGTTGTTGTTGTTGTCTGGCAGGTGTTCAGAGGCAGTTAATAGCATGGGAGGAGATTGCCCATCCTTCTCCCATGGAGCAGCTGGTGACCTCGAACTGCTTGCCTTTGGGATTGCAGTGCAGCTTTTTTGTCACTAGGCCACCAGAGCTCAGGAGAGAATAGCAAGACTTTCAAACCCTTCCAGAGGCAGAATGTGTGTCTGCTTGCTTCCTGTAGGCCTGAGAAGTACCTCAATGAAACCATCTGTGCTGTGGCCCCGGTCCCCGTCTTACCTGGCATGGTAGGTAGGTTCTCAGAGACTCTCATTCTGTTCAGTGAATTTGTTCAATTTTTCCCCTTTAAAAAATATTTCCTAAACAACAAAACAAAATATTTCCTGAAGACCTATTATGCTGCAGGCACTGGGCCAGCTTTGAGAATGTGTATATGAGAGATAAAGTCCCAGTCGTCCCCTCAGGGAACTCCCAGTTCACTTGGAAACGCAGTTGCCCTGGGACATGAGAAGGGTTGTGATAGGATTGTTCAATGGATACTGTGGGACAGACAGAGGGACTGAACCTACAGCCATCAGCAGGGTGACAGCCAAGCTAGCTGAGCTGAGCTGGGGCTGCAGAAAGCACTCTCACAGAAGCAAGAGGACACTGGGTCCCAGGCACTAAGGGAAGTTCAGAGCGGCTGCAGGCCCTTAGTACAGCCAGGCGGGCCTGGGAGAGCAGGCTGGGGATGTAGGGCAGGTACGCACCAGCTTGTTAATGAGGTGGGGGAAGCAGGGGGCGGGGGGGTGGGGATACAGCAGGTCCCCAGGCAAATAAAGGAGGGAGGTAGTGGAGAGGTTCCCCAGGGGTGAGGGTGGAGAGGTATTCATGAGGAGCTAGATTTGTGAGGGATCTAGAGGAGGAGGAAGAGGAGGACTGGGGTAGGACAGAGAAAGAGCCAGGCAGTAAAGGGCTCTGTACATCAGACACCAAAATGGACTTGATCGTGTGTCGACTAGAGTTTGACACAGCAAACATGGACAAAGCATATCCAGAGGAGAGGTGGGAGTGGAAAGATGATCACGAAGAGATGGATTCCAAAGAGGAAGGTGCCGCGGGTGATCCTGGGTTGGGACTCGGTGAAGCTGGGCTCTGCTGGAGCATGGGCCTACAGGGAAGTCTGTGAATTGCTGAGAGGCCCTGACCAGCTAAGGGCCTGTCAGCCAGCTAGGAGGGCATCCAGGAGGCACTGAGGAAGTGAGCTCCAAGTTCAAGGTGGGTGCTCACCAGCTTGTTAGAGGAATGATTAGTGTCAAAGCTGGTAAGGAGGTTCCTGGGGCTGTTGTAGTCTACAGCGCAGGCAGAAGAGGGGGCACTCACTGTGGGCCGACAGGAACATCTGCAGAAAACCGTGAGGAGCTTGCAGAAGCTCAGGGAGGAGTATTAGAAAGGTGAAAGCAGATCCTGTGCTGAGGAGAAGCCAGATGCAGGACACTCGTGAGGCCCAGAGCGTGCCAGGCTGCTGTGCTTCCCAGATCCCCTGTGATAGGGCGGTGGGGCACAATCTTACGACTTTTCTTTTTGTGAAAAAGTGGGTAATGGAAGTTTTCCTGGTAAGGATTTGAGTTTTGCTTGTCCAACGGGTTTCCACTTTAACAGGTCCCGGCTTTTGAAGGTTTTACTGTACTCCCTGGAGAACTGGGTCTTGGGCAGGGGAAGCCTGATGGTTAGTAGTGGAGGTAGAGTGAGCAGATGCTGAGGAGAAGTGTCTTCTCAAGATATTTGATGGGAAGGGAAAGAAAAGGTGGCTGGGAGAGGCTGGAGGGTCAAGGAGAGGCGGCAGAAGGATTAGAGTGCATTTGAAGGGTCATCTGCGATATGGAGAGCAGAGCCAGGCAGGAAAGAGGGGGAGAACTCTCAGGTGGAGAAGCTGGGGAGATGGTGCAGGAGGCAGGGTACAGGGGAAGGACAGCCCCTGTTCAAATCCAGCACCCAAACATGCACCTGTTTGCTGATAACAACAGCAGTGTGAGCACAGAGGATCACAGGCCCCTGCCCTTCCCTGGGACAGGCTGCGTGGAGCCAGAGACGGTGCGCACAAAAGCCAGCTAAGTTCTCTCTGTGTGGCTTGGTTTTCTGTCCAGCTGCCTCTCCTCCATGTTGAAGTGGCCTCTAAACTGTGTTACTGGGAAGCAGAGTCCCTTAGACGTTTCCACCTACATCTCCTTGCTCCCCAGGTGCTCATCTTCTCCCAGGATGGCATGGTGCGCCTCCTGGATGTGGCCAAGGCCCAAATCATCTGTGCCTTTGCCTCACCCAGATCCTACCACCTGGCAGCTAACTGGAAGCCCGTGTTTGCCGTGTCTTCATACCATCCATGTTTTCTTCTTCGAGGTATGAGAGGAAAATATGCCCAGACCTGTGACTCCTGACTTCTCTGCTCCCCCACAAAACACAGGGTGGTTCCGCCCAGTTCTGTCTGCATTCTGCATCCTCCCACTGCAGGCTGACAGGATGTTACAGAATGCCCGCCCCTCACACGGTAGTTGGTCACTGTCTGACAAGGTCCTCTTTCTGGATCCTCCTCTGATCATACGGGACCCCACAGCCCAGCCTAGGTTCTCAAGGCCTTTGTAGACAGAGGGCAGCACCACTCGTTCACCCAGACCTGGGGTCTCTCATCCTCCCCAGAGCTCCCACCATCCAGACAGAACTCCTTGAAAGTGCTCCTCACAGGGAACACACACTCTGCTTTCTTTACAGGAGACAATCCACTTGAAATCAAGTCTGTCAAAAATGCTACAAAGATCCAGAATTCTGTTTTCCATTTTGATTTTGCGGCCTACCCACTCCTAGAAGAGCTCTCAAGAAATGGCACCAGTTTTCAGAATGACTTGAAAAGTAAAGCCTTCCCTCCGAGGCTGTCATTGGAAAGGAGATGCGAGAACTTTCTCCAGGAGAGGTAATGAGTTCTGTCCTGTCCCATCCCCGTGTCTGGGGTTGTCTCTGAGTTGAAGGAAGGTGGGCTCTTTTTGATGGTAAGATTGTCTGAGTATTAAATCACGCGATTCCCTGTGTCATTCTTCAGTGGCCACTGCCACCCTAAACCTGAGGAATGAGATGGTACCCAGCTGCCTCTGCTGACTACTCTGAAAGGGACCAATATAGAAGGTCCCTGAAAGAGGGAAGGAAGAAGTAAGGATGAAATTAAAAATCTTAAAACCAACGGGCTGCTGGTCTGTAGAGACTAGTAGAAGCCTGGACACTACTACCCTTCATCACCCCTCAAGCCTAAAACTGAACTCACTCCACCACTTACCTTTCCACTAAACAACAGACAGGCCTAGAGAGTAATCACTAACGCAGGGAGGTACCCATTCCTTACAGCGACAGCCATTTGAGGCCAAATGGGCAGCATTTGCCCAACGAGAGAGCTCAGAAAGCAGGAAGAGAAAAGAAGGAAGAATGGCACCCGGAAACACAGTAAAGAAGTGGGGAAAGTGCCACTACAGTGCGGGCAAGGACATTAGCACTGTCAACTAGAATGTATACCCACTGTTGGAGGTAAAACCAATTTGCTCTCTAAACTTTCAAAGCACAATAAAAGTTAAAAAGAAACTCTAGACAATCGCTTCTCGGCCTTTTGGCTAAGATCAAGTGTAGAAACTCTAGATGACTAAGATCTGATCTGAATCGGTCAAGGGGATGGTGCAGGCCCAGGCAGAATGTCAGTCTGTTGCTAATGGGGTCACAGTGAGCTGACTGGGCAGCCACCCACAGCAGGACAGTGATGATGGCCTCTCAGCGAATCCCGTTCGTTCCTGGGGAAATGATTGGCACCGCCACCAGGTGGCCCCACAGCCCCTCCTTGCTTTCTTTCCCTCTCCTGGCCACATTCACTGCTTAGTGGCCTAGTGGGGCCAACCTAAAGGCAGGTTGTTCAGATCCACCAGCTTCTCTGGAGAAAGAAGGCTGTTCTTCTCCTGTGCTGTTAACAGCCTCCAAAAACCCACTAGCAGGTCGACTGTGTTTCTTCTGACCCTGCAGCAGTGAGAGAGCAAGTAGGCCCTGCTGGGGAGCTCTGGTGATCACTTTGAAAAAAAAAAGGAAAGAAAAAAAGAATGAGATCTCTTATTAAACAAGTTTATAAGCCCTTTTGATTTCAAATGCTTGTTCTAAGGAGTGTGTTCCTCCCTGCTGTTACTTCTCACGATAGTTATGCCCTGCATAGCTTACAGAGCAAAACAGTTTTCCATTCAACAATTTCTACATATTTTGTTTTGTAACATTGGTTGCAATCCCTTGTTTTAGTCATCTGATGCTCCTAATGCTCCTTGGAGGCAAGGATTCTGAAGCTCTGTCTGACATACTTTAGACATGTTGCAAAGAGGGCACCAGTCCTTGGAAAGGGACCCTTGGGAGGGTGGAGGGACAGTGCAAGAGAGGAAGACCCTCTATGAGGTGGATTGATTCAGTGACTGGGGTAATGCAGGTAGGTGTATCAGAGGCAATGCGATTGGCACAGGATAGAGCAGGGTTTAGGGCTGTTGTACATAGGGTCGCTATGAATCTCAGGCGACTGGTGGCACATAACAACAACAGCAACAACGATGCTCCTATATGGCACTCTGATGGCCTAGTGGTAAGTAGCTGTGCTGCAATCCCAAAGGCATGCGGTTCGAACCCACCAGCTGCTCTTTGGGAGGAGGATGGGCAGTCTCCTCCCATGTGATTTATTGCCTCTGAAATCCCACCTGAGGGTCAGCGATGAGTTGGTTCCAACTTGATGGCACACAGCTATGCTGCTGTAACAGTGATAGCACAGTGGATGGCTTTAACAACAGAACTTGGTTTCTTTTCTTACAGTTTAGGAAACTCTAAGTCCCAGTTCAGGGTCCAAGTCTTGGGAAAGGCCCTTTCTCTCTCTTTTCTAGAAGGCAGTCCTTGTTCCCCTCAGCCTCTGTAGACCACGGGTCCCTGGAAATCTCCACGTGTCCCAGCCTTCTCTGGTGTCAGAGACTTCATGACGCAGGGACCCATGTCCAAAAAGATGTACTCCATTCCTGGGGACTTTCTTGGTGGTACTGAGTCTACCCCACCCCTTAACTCGTTCCTCCATTTTTTGCTTCTGATGGCCTAGTTGCAAGAAGCTGCGCTATAATCCTGAAGGCACATGGTTGGTGGCCACCAACTGCACTACAGGAGAAGGATAGGCAATCTCTTCCCATGTGATTAACTGCTTCTGAAAACCCACCGGACGGTCAGCTGTGGGTCAGTCCTGATTCCATGGTACACAACAACAAGTGAGATAGAAGGTACTAGAGGCTGTGGCCCCTAGGAGTACTCCTCTTACATCCAGTTAGGGCCATGATGAGACCCGGGGTATTGCATTCCACCCTTAATCCTCCTGCAGTATTGGGTTATCAGGACCATGGGGATCATCACATAGCTACCACATTACATATTATATGCATGTATTTTGGTTGGACATAATTCAATCCATCATGTTGTTCACTGCCATCAAGTGAAACCTACTCAGCAAGTGGCTGTAAATCACACGGGAAGAGACTGCCCATGGAGCAGCTGGTGATCCTCTGATGGAGCAGCTGGTGAACTCAAATCACTTTCCTTTGGATTGCCAAATCCTTATCACTAGCATCCTAATTCAGTCAATGTACAGCACCGCTCAGTGTAACAGCATTCTTTCTGCTTCCTCTCTGGGTTCCTTGTTCCCATTCATTCATTCATTCATTCTTTCTTTCTTTGCTGTTTTACAAATGCTGTCCTTTTGAACTTGTGTGTTTGACTGTACTCAAGCACAGTTTTAATGCCTAGAGAAAGTCCATGGAAAGGATGTCTGTCATTTCCTTTGCCCCTCCTGTGTTTGGACCTGTTCTGGTAAGAAGAAGCACTGCTTCTGCCCTGACTCCTCTAGTTTCCAGGATCCCAGAGAGGATTCTCTCTGCCAGAGCAAGGGAATGGGGGACTGTCTGCACTGTCAGGGCAGCTGAGCTTCTACATTCTGTTCTGTATCCCATGCCCTCCTCAAAAAGGTCCCACACAGCTGGGTAGGTGGAGAGGAATGCTTTGTAAGGAACTTTCTGGAAAATATAGAGGCTTGGCGCTGGTAGAGCAAGGGGTCACAGCAGAGACTGGAAGGGGACAGGCAGTTTCAGAGATGTGATTTTGAGGAAACATTGACTTGGACATAGAGATGATATTTTATTTGATTTATTCTTGCAGTGAGAGTAATTCTGAATCAAAACCAGAGAAAAACTGGGAAGCACTATGTGATTGAAAGAAACCCTTTTCTGTTTCACTTACTCTGAGGTCTAATTTCCAGGTATTTCCCCACTCCACCAACATTATCCTATGAGGCATTTAAAACATGCAGGTTTAAAACATATTTCAGTAAACACCCACAACCTAGATTATCACTAATATTTTACTATATTTGTTTGACTACAGATATTCATCTATGTCTCAAAGATTTCAGTCCCCACTTTTCTGGGTTGTTTTCTTATCCCTAAAATCTGTAATAGTCTCTTTTGGCCCTAAAACTAAGTGAAACTTTCAAGCAATGGGATCATGTGGTAATAGATTCAAAGTTTCACATTTGCAATAGTCTGTCCCAATTGTTTTTACAAAACCCACACTGGGACTTCTGTCAGCAGTCGGGGTGACGCAGGAGGCCTGTAGGGCTCTGAGGGGAGGCAGGCTGCGCCAGAGGCGGCACAGACCTTGGGGGCAGATTCCAGCAGGCTCTGCTCCCTGTTTGCTTGAGCGCTGCCAGTCACTCACTGTGGCTGAGCTGCCCTTCTCTGGATTACACAGAGCCGCAGGTTTCAGGACACCAGGTGATCAACTCCTAGCACAGCTGGACAAAGGTCTCTGACTGCACCTCCTGTCACCACCATCAGCAGTCCCTAGGGTGGAATTTGAGCCCCTGATGTCAACAAATCCTATTACCTTTTCCTGCTTTTCCCCAAAGTTATTTGTAGACTCAAAGCTCAAATATCTAGTTAAAGGTTTTGCACAAGGAATTTCTAGAAGTTCTGTTTTCTGCTCCCACTTTGTGAATACGGGCTTTGCTTTTTGGAAGATACACAGCTGGTCAGGACTTTGCTTAAATACAATAGACAGAGATTGTAGCTTTGTCATTTGGAAAGGGAAAATTCTCATTTGTTCATAGTGGAAGGAGGTGTCTCTGGCTCCTAGAGGGCTTTTTCTTGGAGTCCCATAAGCCCATTGTCGGTCAGTACAAGTCTCAGCTGCACCAGGCATCCCTTCCAATCCATGCCTGGCTGCCAAGCACATTTGGGCTTGGACTGCAACCACATAGATGCCCCTCCTAGCCTTCACATACTTTTCTCCACACAGCAGCCTCCCTCCCCCAGGCCAGCACTCACTTCCCACCACCTGGGGCCTGGCCTTCAGTGGATAGCCTCGCCTAGTGGGGTGCTGTGAACCTCAGCTCCCTGTGCGCAGCACAGATGGCACACCACCCCTCTGCACCCAGCACAGACGGCACACCACCCCTCTGCGCCCAGCGCGGACAGCACACCACACGTCAGTGCCCAGTGGGGACGGCACACCACCCCTCAGCGCCCAGAGCAGACAGCACACCACACGTCAGTGCCCAGCGGGGACGGCACACAACCCCTCAGTGCCCAGCGGGGACGGCACAACGCCACCCCTCAGTGCCCAATGGGGATGGCACACCACCCCTCAGTGCCCAATGGGGATGGCACACCACCCCTCAGCACCCAATGCAGACAGCACCCAATGCAGACAGCACACCACCCGTCAGTGCCAGGCTCCCATTAGCTCCTTAACCCTCTGTGGACTGTGGATTGAACTTGCCCTGTCTTTCCATCTTGGCATATTTCCACAGTTGCTTTTGAACATTTCCCCTCACATTCCTATGGTAAATTCTCATGGGATAGACAGTCTTTGATTGCGGGGTTCACCTCCTGACACCACATTGCCGCCAGGTCATTCTGCATGAGGCTCCTTCCTCACAGTGGATAGGAATTGACTGACAGAAAATGACACATAGGTGTTTCCAGTTAGTAATTAAGGAGCCTGTGCATCATTGAGTTTGGTATGTTGCTAATTTCCATCTCTTCTATGAATTTTCCTGGTTTATTTGCCTATGCATATGTTCATTTTTCGTTTGCTTCTTTCACAATATAATGTGAGTAATTTTTCATAGTTTGTCTTTGGGTTGGAGTTACTTTGATTATTTGTTTAACAGAAGCTTGACGTATTTGTATAGCTGGAGTTTGCTGTCTTCTCCCTCAGAGGTCATTGAGTGAGACGCAGTAGGGCCTGGAGTGAGGCCTGGAGACAGAGAAGGGTCAGGAGCCTCTTGGCTCTCTGTCTCCCTCTAGTGTGTGATTAGATCCATGCTTTCACCTTCACAAACCTTTTTTATTTGCCAACCAGTGGAGCCAACCCATTGCTGACCCTAGCCGGTTTTCAGAGGCAGGAAATGGCACAGTAGGAGATTGCCCATCCTTCTACCAAAGACCTGGTAGATTTGAACCTCGTGCCTTTGGAATTGCAGCACAGCTTCTTACCACTGTAGGCCACCCGAGCTCCCTACTACAAACTTTAGTTTCCTCATTTATAAAACAGGGCAAGTGCTGTGTGCCAAATGTTTACTGGCATAATCTAATGAGCATAATTTTATTTGAATATGTGCTCAAACTATGCAGTGGGGAAGCTGAGGCAGCAGTCATAATCCATCTCCCATCCAAGGTCACCAGTAACTGAGCTCAGTTTGAACATATGCATTTGAGTCCAAAACCTGAACTTGTATCCTGCACTAGAATCAGCATCTCATGCACACACGCAAAGATGTCTGTGTAAAGACAACCAGTGCAGCCCTCAGGTGTCGTCAGGGAGGAAGAGAAGCAGGTCTGTAGCACTGCCCACAGTGACTCCTAGGATAGACCAGCTTCCATTTAAGTTACAGGTGGAAAAAAGCTGTGGGCAGATTTGCACGTGTGTGCATGCATGTATAAACAGGAGCCCTGCGGGCATCGTGTGCTAACAGTAAAGGCAGTGGTTCGTATCCAGCTGCTCCATGAGACAAAGAGGACAGTCTCCTCTCATACAGATTTCCAGATTTACAGCCTCAAACCCAATTGAGGGCCATTAGGAGTCAAAATCAACAGCAGTGGGATGTGTATAAAGAAAAGGCAAAGGGATTGTAAAAAGCTGTATAGTTGCTTTGGGGACAGAAATAAAGAAGCTTTTATTTATATACCCACTGGTCTTACTTAATTTTTAAAAAGCAGTGTGGAGTTTCAGCAGAGCTCTGTCAAAGCAGTTGCTGATATATTTCCTCCCTCCAAAATGACTCATCTTTGTGTGTCTCCTGTTTACATCTTAATAAAAGAGTCTCTATAGGATGTGTTACCTAAAAAGCAATGCAGAGATTTCCATATTTTTTACACAGTGTGCATTGTGTTTTGGGATGCTGCACACCTCCTGTGTGTTGTTTTCGTAAGTGCACTGTATCAGTATTTTTTATATGTTGCTGACTACAGTTTCCATTTTCTTTTTCTCTCCATGGATTTAATGTGAAGTCTTGGTGCACGTTGACACATGGGTTTGCTTTTCAGCAGCAGACCTTACCAGCCTGCCATTGTGTTTCTAAAGCTGGCCCTCCCCGGGGCCTGAGTCCCTGTGAGAACCTGACAGTCTGTGGTCCCCAGTACAGGGACAGATTGATCGCCTTTTCTGCCCCGAAGCAGACCTCACCAGGACAGCTGGCCCCCGCTCATGGGGTGCAGGGATCAGCGTACCCCGAGCAGGAGAAGCCGTTCCAGCAGGCGAGGCTGGTTCACCCCGGGTGTTCGCTCTATCTCACCACGGGCCTGCTGGCTGCTGCGCTTGGATCCTCTGTTCATGTGAACTCCACAGAATGAGTTTGACAGCTGAGGAGTCATGGAGACAGGCAGGGTCAGACAGGACCCCTGGGGCCAGGGCAGTGCAGCCTGTACCCGTACCACTGCCCTGCCACCTGGCTTCACGGGATCTGGGCACATACAGGCAGTGGCCCCTGCCCACCTCGGGACCAGCCTGGGTTTGGGCTGTGGCCGCCTGGCTGTCTTGCCTCTACTGACCCTGGTGCAGTGTCCCTGGGCTCAGATCAGCTGCAAGGGGCTGGACTCTCCTTGGGCCCCAGTGCAAGTGCTCAGTTTCAATGGCTTATTTTCTGATTACCGCTACTGCCAAGTTTGACCCATGACTTCTTGGCCACAGCTTATACCTTTATTATATAAACTTGATCTGAAATAACATTTTCAGACTATTGACTGAAGGTCAATGCTGAAATGCATTTTTGGAACTGACATGAGAACATGCCTGAACATGTGCACAGTATGTTTTCGCCTGTTACCTGTATGTGTGTGTGTTTATGTGGGTGCAAAGAATGTGATGTTCCTTTAACTGTGTTTTAACACACTGAGTATAGAGACATCTCCACAGACCCATCTCCCATGGGTGCAGTGCGGAGACCCAGGACAAACCCAAAGCCACGGTCATGGTCTCTTACCCCAAAGTGCCTCTGGTTCCTTCTGTCCTGAGCTTTCTCACGTCCTCTCACTCACTCCTGAGTTGGACTAATGCAGTGACCACACGAGCAGGCTACAGCACACTGGCCTTGGCGAGGACAGCACTGGAGTGGGCAGGGCCTAGATTGGCTGTGCGTGGGCTTCCATGTAGGTCAAAGGCAACTGTGTGGCATCTGACAGCAGTCACTTAGGCCCCAGGCTAGCTCGACATACCCTCTCCACCACAGCCTACCCCTCTTTTAAGCAAAGACCCTCTTACTTGCCACCAACATTGCCAGATGCTGAGGAATGAGGCTCTGATTTTTCTATACTGAACATGCACTTATTATTTTGAAAAAGCCTAAACTCCAAATTGTTCCTTAAAAGACTCCATTTAAATGATTCCTGTTCTGTGAGGACCCCAGGTGAGGTTGGTCTCATGTGCCTTTGTGCGTGTTGAGTGCACAGAAATCTATCCTGCCCCATGTGTTCTTCCACTGCCACCAAACTGAGGACTCGTTCAGGTCTCTCCAACCCTTGCCCCTGTGCCTGTCGCGTGTAGATGCTAGACGAATGTGTACAAGGAGACTGGGTGAAGTTCTAATCTATTTGGGTTCATGCAAAAAGGAAACTGGACTTGCAGGCCCAAAATGAATCATCTGCACAACCTCACAGTCTCTCACACTCACCCTGCCATTCCCTCAGTGCGGGGTCTGCTGTGCGCCAGCCTGGGTCCCAAGGACGCAGAGATGAAACTGATGTGCCATCTTGGAATTCCTTGGATGAGGATGGTCATGGCCTTTTCTGAGGACCTGGGGACTGGGGGCTGTGGTAAAAGTGGGTTCCACTTACATCCTGCTGTGTGGCCCACAGGTTCCAGCTGACGAAGTTTGCAATGAGGGAGCAGGAACATTGGAGCCGGCTGCGGAAGTATGCCTCGTTTCTGCAGAAGGACAGCTTCTTCGAGTGACTTGCCCACTGTCCTGGGGCCCTCAGGAAAGGGCTCTGCCACCAGGCAGACTGCTGTTTCCCAGGGCACCCCAAGTTGAAGGCCCCTGGTGACAATGCATAATGGTGAAAGAGTTGAGGTCTGTGACCTCTGCAAAGCCTACAGGGAGGAAGGTACTATTTTGGGGGGTCTCAACCCTGTGCCTCTTGTCAGAACCTCAGATGAGCAGCAAGTGTTCCTCAAATAAACAGTGGTGGTGTTTCTGCAAGCCTAAGTTTCTGTGGTTTGCAACTCATTGTCCAATTCCGACCCCAGCAAGGCCCAGCTAGTAGTCCAGCCAGAATCCCGACCCCAGCAAGGCCCAGCTAATAGAATCCAGCCAGATTCCTGACCCCTGTCCAATCCCAACCCCAGCAAGGCCCAGCTAGTAGTCCAGCAAGGCCCAGCTAATAGTCCAGCCAGAATCCTGACCCCAGCAAGGCCCAGCTAATAGTCCAGCCAGAGTCCCAGGCCTTCTGAGAGCCTCTCGCCTCATGGGTCCACCAGAAGCACTTCTGTCAAATGAATGAGCCACCCGCTGTGATCCTCTTTTTCCCTCCACCCACCTTGTTCCCCTCATGAGCTGCTTCATAACCTGTAGAGAGTCCAAAGCTCAGAAGGGTTGAGGGACTGCTGGTCTGAAGACACAGGTGAGAGAGGCTGAGCCAGGTGAGGGCGGCACAAGGGTAGGAGCTGTACTGCTCTGCCCACCTACTGGCCCAGAGAGCTTAGAGGAAGCTGAAGGCTGAAGGCCCTCTAGGAGGCAAAGGGGTGCCCTCCTCTTGTTTAAAAACTGCGCTTCCTAAGAGACCTAGATGGAGCGGCTGGAGGGCGGCATCTGCCTCTCTGATGACCCCGTGCGATCCCTTTGAGAACTGCAGATGGCTAGCCTAGCTCCAGCCTCGCCCTAGGTAGAACTGCTGGCAGGATTTGGGCTGGCTGCTGGGTTTGTGCACCACGCCATGCTCCGCCCACCTCTGGGCCACAGATCATAGCCCTCCTTCAATAATGGCACTGGATGGCTGAAAGTCCCCTGGAGAAAAGGACCCCCCTGCAGACACTGCCATCCCTCCTCCCCACCATAGAATGAAAACTGGGAGTAGACTTAGCGTGGGCCAGATCAGACTCTCTGCAGTAGGTACGTTGGGAACCCTCCTTTGATGATAAGGTGGAACAAAACTTAGAAGGGTGGCCAAGACTTTACCAGTCACCTGAAGGTGTTGGAGAGCTAGCATTTAGGCTGTGTCTGTTAACTCTCCAAATAACTGAGGAGCAATGATGTCAGTTTGAAGGTGAAAGTGTGCCTGATCCAGGCCACAGTCTTTTTCAATCACTTGGCTTTGCATCTGAGAGCTAGACAGTGAATAAGGATGACAGAGAAGAGTTGAGGCATTTGGACTGTGGTGTAGGTGACAAGTGCTGAATGTCCCATGGACTGTCAAAAGAACACACAAATGCTCCTTGGAGACAAGGATGCCAAAGCTTCATCTCACGTACTCTTGGCGTTTTATTAGGAGATGCTGTTCCTTGGAAAGGGACATTATGCTTGGAGAGGCAGAGTGAAAGAAAGGAAGATTTTCAACCAGATGGATGACACTGTGACTGCTGCAGTGGGCTTTAGAGTGTCAGAGATGGTGAGGATGGCACAGGATAGGACAGGGGTCAGGTCTTTGTTCATAGAGTTGCTATGTGTCATACTTGACGGTCCCTAACAACAACCATATGGGGGTTTGTGTGTTTGGGTTTTTTGGGTTTTTTTTTTAGGCTTTTAAAATTTATTTAGTTCATGAAAAAGGCATCTCCTTTAGGTTTTCATCTTAATCATTTGAATAACCATATCCTGTTCTGCAGCATCTTTAATTGCTCAAACAGCATGCTTCTTGCTAGAGTTCAGACAATTGAAAGCAAATAGACTTCCATCTGGGAACATCGACGGAGCACGGCAGCAAGCACAATGCCATGAAAAGGGAAGTCGCATGCCTGTTCCGAGGTCACAGTCATGAGGAGGACGGCTCAGGAGGGAGGCCCGCTGGAGGCTGCAGCTATGTTGGCATTCCTTTCTGCCTCAAGTTCAGAGACAAGCTGGATCATTTCAGGGTGACTGAATTTCCCTGCTGTGGAATCATAGAAGTCTTGCAGTCTCCCAGGCTTATTCTCAAGGTCCTCATATTCTGATGCCTGGAGAATCATCTCACACTGGTCCAGCTGCTTCACGTACTTGGCTTCTGCACTAGTTTGTGTCTCATACTCTTCCCAAAGTTCATAGAGCTCTTTTCTCAGGTCCTCAGGCAGAAGCTGGGTCAGCTGCTTCATCGCTTCCGGTCTTTGTTACGATGGTCATCTTTGGTCACCATGGCCATAATTGCCATTCTGTACATGTGATCAGACACACTCTTTGGCTTCTCTACATTTCTGTACACCCAGTCAGTCCGTGGGACTCTCTTGAGCTGCCCCACCAGGCGCAGGAACTGCAGTAGGTTCCGGGCACCGCGGCCTGAGGAAGCGGCAGACACCGAAGCCATCAGGCACTGGCCGCCGGGATGGGCCTGGCAGGCGGCGCGAGCTGCCAGAAGCCCCGCCCCGCTTCCTCCTCCGGTCTCAGGTGTATGTGTTTTACCTCGGGCCTTAAGTCACCGTGTGCAGTACAGACACTACTATTACTACTATTACTCTGGGCAGGCGATCCCATCGTTTAGAACAGCTTGTTTCAAGTCGGTATAGATTTTTCAATAGCAAATGTCAAAAAACACGAAAGGAAAATTTGCTGGCTCAGCTAATTTAGCAGTCCCAGAGTAATGCTTTCTGTGTCGCTGGAGACAAGTGTTAAAATAGACTCCAGAGTCTCTCTGAGCTGAGACTCCCAGCTCTGAGTGCCTTTCACGTGGACCCTCTGCTGGGGTGGTGGCAAATGACACCAGAGGGAGCTTTCTCAGTGACTCCAGTGGTGTCCAGAGCCCTTTCCTCACCAGCCTGCTCGTGTCCTGAAAGACTTGCTGTGATGACAGGCCAGGCCTGTGGCAGGTACTCAAGCTTGATGGTCATGCCTGAGGGCTGACTGTGGGGGAGAGCTATCTAAAGAAAGAAGCCCTGCACACCATGAGCATAGCAGACAGTACTGCCCCGTTCGTATCAGTGTATGCTGGGGAAAGATCCATGTATATAGGAGATCCATGTATATAACAGGTCCAGCGGAGGCAAAGGTACGTAAACTTCCTAATCATAACCAAACCCCCTGAGGGAATGAGTGTGGTCCTAGTGCCTCAGAACACAGTTTGAGGGACTTCAAGGCCAATGAGTAGAACAGTCCAGAGACAGTGCTCTGCATCCTGCTCTGGGGAGTAGTGACTTGGGTTTTAAAATCCAGTGAGCAGTGATCTAAGGGGCAACTGTTGGCCTCCTAATAGCCAGACAAGGAAGAGAGGAGAAATGCAAAGATGCACAGAAGCAATTCATTCAAAGGATTAATGCACCATCCAGATCTCAAGCTCCACTGCCCTCAGACTATAAGAACCAGTCCTTTTTCCTGGTCAGAGGGGACAAAAACGGTAGACCCAAACTCAAAAGCATAAAAATGGTCTGACAGATACTAGTGAAACTCTGAATCTATGGCCCTTAACTACCCTTTACAATTCCTTAGGAAAAGAGATCACTTAAGATCTAAAGGAAAGCATTTTCCCTAGTATAGAGCTCAAGACAGGAAGGGATTGGGCAGAAGGCTTAGTGGAAATAAAAATATGACTTGATAATTGAATGAAAGCCAATTTTCACTATACACAGTCACACAATAAAATCACACACAAAAAAATACTCAGGAAAACAATCTCTGTGCCATGAAGCCAGAAAGCCAAAGGGACACTGAATGAGCCAAACCATGGAGGTGCCTGCCCAAGCAGAGCTGGAATGAGGGACTGGCCCCACCCTCCGAAGTCATGCTGCCAACAGGAGACCACATCCTCACGTGCTAGTGGGTGGAGGGAATGAGGCAGGGAGGAGAGGGACTGGCTCAATCACAAAGGTGAGAGGAATGAAGAAGAAGGGGCCGGGAACTGGCAAAGCACCCAATGGCATGTGAAAGAGCCCTAGTGACTATAGGCTGGGGATCCGCAGCTGGGAGGTGCATGGCCAGAGGCTGAGAAGGCTGTGTCAGTGGCCCCACATGGCCCCTTTGAAACAAGGAACCCCCGCATCTTCTCAGGGGAACATCATGGGGCTGCTGCTAAGGTGCGGCAAGTGAGGTGCTCGGGCTGTAAAATGCAAGGCAGCCTCGCTGTCAGGGAGTACAGGGACAGCTCCTGAGAGGCGGGAGGAGGCGCAGCTGATGGCTTGCCCATTACTTCGCATCACTCTAGTTCTCCATGTCTTGCAATCCTGGGCCACCTATGAGCCTCTTGTATGGACTTGTTTATTAGCAACAAGTGGCCAGAAGCTTGCATTCCAAGGATGGCTGCGTCTGAAATGAGGCCGGACTGTTGGCTGTCCTTCAGATGGACCAGCCACCTCACCCCCAGGCTGACCCAGCTCTCCGGGATAGTGGGTATGGTAAAAGGTCCCTAATATGAAAAGCTAAGGACAGGCTTTGTGGTGAGGAGTTGCAATGCCAATCCAAGGACATTCTGTTTAAGTCCACTAGTTAGTTACTCTGTGGGAGAAGGATGGGCAGTCTCTTCCCGTGCGATTTACAGCTTCAGAAAACCTGCTGGAGGGTCAGCTATGAGTCATTTCCAACTTGATGGCACAGAACAACAGAATCCCTCTGAGGTGATTACTAGGGAGGAGAAGGGAGAGAAAGGGGAGTACAGATCAATAAATAGGTAAATCGAGTGAAGGAAAAGGCAATATGGAGCAAGGAATTGATCATTCACTCATTGTCCTGGAGACAGAATGACTCGTAACTCACCCTCCGTGGGGCTGATGAGACTGTAAATTGCACAGGAGATTGTACATCTTCTCTTGCAGAGCCGAGGGTAGATTCGAACCTCCAG